ATGATTTCAAAAGGCAAGTTATAAATTCTAAATTTAAAATAAGCATTTCTAAAACAAATTTAACACAACTACTGCAAAAAAAATATTTTAAAACCATAGTAAAATTTGTGGAAAAATACGCAAAAAACAAATATTTTATATTTTTTTAACTATCCAATTAAATCTGTCAAAATTAAAGAGTTTATTAGCTTTTGAAATAAAATTCTATTGCAAATGTTAGCATTACTCTATTACTTTTCTGTGTCGGTGATCTCTTAATTCCTTGAACTTCTTGAACCTCTCTCGTCTCAAGATGTCGAGACTCGATACTGACCTATGATACAGTTTTCTGACCTATGACTACAAAAACTACTTTAATCTAATATTGAAATAAGAAAGATTTCACATTCAGACTTCTCAAAAATAGAAAAAAACGAGACAAAAAAGATGTAATCGTGTCAACTCTGTGATGTAATTGCAGCATTACGATATTAATTTGTATAAAATTTCAGTACTATAATTTCAATAATTTTTAAGATACATACGACCAAATAACTTTTGAAGTTTTATGGTAGCATATGTTAGTTCGCTATATCTGAACAGCTTTAACCATAAGGTGTGACGCAATTTCAACAACTTTTATCATCCATAACAGTCCTAATAATATATTTGCTTGTGCGTTTTGATATTAAGGCTTCAATAATTTCTAAGATATAGCCAAAGACAACTTCAAAACTAGTTGTAGGTCAGCTTTTCGAACCTGCCCCGATGACATCCAATTTAAATCGGGTTCCGGCATTTACTATCATAAGTCATTTGTGGAAATTTGATAATCTGTTTGCGTTACAAACAGTAAGGCAAATTTATAATACCCATCGTTTTTGAGAATCATGGAATAATTTTCATTCAACTAAACTAAACATATGATTGTATATAACACTGATTAAAAAATTTCGATGTGCAACTAAAAGATATTGTTAACAAAAAATCTCTCGCTGCAAATAAGGTTTTTGAAACAAAGTCAAACAATTTTCGTTACATAATATCCTTTTAATTTATTTACCGTCTTTTAGAATCTAAACACATACACATATGTATATATATTATGTTTGTGAGTACTCTGCACAAAATAAATTCGAAATAAGCATACGTATACACAAATGTGATGACAAAACAAAAAAAAAAATAAAAATGGAAAAAATATACAAAATGGAATAAATAATTTCAAGGACATCTAGGATATCTTTATAGATTAAAAGAAAATCTATATATACAAAAAGATATGAAAACAAACGAAATATTTTTATGTTGTTGTTTGCTTAAAAAAAATCGAGATTCTCTGAGATTCGCTTTTATATTGTTGTATACATTTTGTTTGGTTGACTATTATAGCTTTTCATCACTCTCTATATTTGAAAGAAATATGTAATGGTTTATGTGTATTTGTTGTATAAGTCATGTACATAAACTGTGCATTTGTGTAGAAAATAGTGGTAAAAGCAGATTTGGCGTTAAATAATCGGCGGAGAACATCATTTAGCGGGGTTTAATCGATTACAGAAGAAATTGAAAATTCTTGGAAAATTATTGTTTATATTTTACTTCATACAAGATGTCTGGGAATTTCTAAGAATAGTAAAATTTAAAAATTATTAAAATTAAAAAATTGCTTCGACGGAATTAAAATTAATTGAATTTTAATTACTCTTTCGATAATAATTATATTTTGAATGGTTAAATGACTTTCAAAAATATTCTCTTACAATTGTTATTCTAGGAAAAATTTTTAAATCGGGTCATTTATTAGCGATAAATTTAGAAATTTAAAATTAAAAAATCTTAACGAATGTTGAACATTCGTTAAGATGACTTAAATGTTAAAACAATTGCATTCAAACTCTTTGAAAAATTTAATTAAAATTCCAAAAAACTCCCTTAACATGATGTAATACTTTACCTTAAATTCAGTTCAGATGAAATTGAGATACGGGGATTAACAGAAAGACGAACAGTTAATATTGAGAAGTGCATTTCAATTGAATTTTCAACATGTGAAATTTAATACGATTGCAAAAGCTTTCCTGTTTCAGAAAATTTTATAGGTTTTCATTTTAATATTAGAACTACTCCTTTATGTAGAACAGAAATTAATGTTAGAGTTAAGTTATAAAATAAATGTTTATTAGAAATCAGATTTTTACTTAATCAGTCTTGCTCTTTATATAACAAAAATATCAAGGTGGATTTTTCTGTAAATCGTGAATTTTTTAGCGAAAGTTATGAATGTATTTGAAGTGGTACTTTATGATGATGAATAACATATCTTGGAATTTTTTTTTTGAAATCTTAACCCAATTTTTTTTTTATTTCATTCAATCTCAAATGGTCTTAAACTCGTATAGGATATAATTACAAAAACTCATATAATTAATAGTCAAAAATCAATCCAAACATTTTATCATTGTAATGGTGCTTATTGTATATAATTCATATAATTCATAATTACAATAATATGTAGTCATGAGTAATATTTAGTTTACTAACAATTTTATATAATAATGTATTTATATAAGTACTTGTAATAATGTGTTTTGACGACTAAATAAAACAATTTCTATTTTTTGTTTTTATTTTTATAATAATTGTTTAACATTCTTAATTAAGTAGGTTTAGTAGGTAGGTTATTATATGTTTATTTTATTTGCTAAATCATATACTGTGTCCAAACATTATAGGACTTTATAGTCCAAACTATTAAATCTGACATCATAGAAGATATTGTTCTGATGCCAGCTTTTCTTGTGAAGTTTGGGTGCACTAAACTATTAAACGTAGTATTAATATTGGTATTCGTGTTTTTTGTTATCATTAGGATTATAATTTCAATAAGCAATTCAATTGGCAATATTTGATTATTACATTATATAATTATTAATAATTATTAACTGAGGAGAGTATTCACAATCTAAATATACATACATATATAGTGCAAGTATATTGCATTAACAATCTAAAAAATTATAATAAAGCTTCGTTCATTGCTTCGTCTATTTTGTCGAAAAATTTTGGGCACAGTATTTTGTGCTTCCTGTTTTTGAAAAAAAAAATTATATTGTGCTGATATATCAAAAAGACTTCCAATGTGCTTATTATCTATTTGGATTTGTTTGAAAAAATTTTATTAAAAATCTACATAATCAAATATTTTGCCCTAAAAATATATTGTATGCTCCGCAAGAGTGTATATGCACTTTAAAATAAAATAATTTTTCAATGTTAATAATATTATTAATGCTAATATATTTTCTACATACATATATGCAAATATATTGTACATGTAGTACTCACATAAAATGAACAGAAATTTTTATAAATATATATATGCACAAAACAATTCTATGATTGTATGTGCAATATAAGAAATAAAAGTACTATGTTTGTTCATGAAATTCTGGGATACTTTGCTATATTGCATGATATTTTTAAAAAACTTTGTATCCGGCACCTATAGCATACATAACAACATAAGTATGTACATAAATAATACGTTTTTAACCTTGGTAATACTTTTGTGTGTTAAGACGCCTCATACTTTATGTATTTACAAATTGTATATGTATGTATGTACAAATAATTTGTAAACATTTATATGAATGAAGAACTTTTAAAATTATATATTGAATTTACACATGTACGTAAATATTATACATATTTATATTAAGTATATATAATATGGTGCATAAAATTTTAAGTGTAGCCTATAGTATATACCAACATAATTTATTTAAATTTATAAGGATTATAAACAGAATTTTCTACTTCATTAATTTTGAAATTTGTCTTTTCTACAAATTTTAAGTTTTTGCTTTATTTGTTTTTATGTATGTAGATTTTGTTCTCTTAGCAATTAAAATGAAAAAAGAGAATTATAAGAATAACAAAAATAATCTTAATTTTTTGGTTAAAAAAAATATATGACATACTTACGTATATAAAAAAATTATTAGTGTGAACTTATTAAGATGGTCATATTCGTGGAAGGACGAAAAGTTTTTATAAAAATGCGCACTTAATAATTTCTTGAAGTTAAAAATATTGAAACAACCTACTCTTTAGTTGATCATCATATCATACGATATATGTGTATATATACGAGTTAATATACATTTACGTAACACAACAAAATTCAGATTGCTCTACTTTACAGGGTCTCCCTCTTGAATCATTTAATACGTTCTTAGTTTCAAGCACTCCCAACCACATGAGTCTATAAGGCTATAGGTGTGAATTCATATATTATAATTACAATATTCTCGATAAACTGTTTTGAAATAGTGAAAATGAGAAAATACGACAATTTTAAGTATAGAAATTCTGCGTTAAGGAACCAATTTGAAATTTCAATTATAAAAATCGTATGTTTTAACATTCGTATATGATTTTAATGTTATTGCGCTATATTCTTGGACTATGATATGGATACGCAGAATTTCTAATGTAATAAGGTTTAACGAATTTTGCTTTTGTTTTGAAAGTACTTTGTTTTAGCTACATTTTAAATATTTTGATTAATTATATTATTTCTGAGATTTATGCAATATTGTCTGATATCAAAATGAAGATCAGAATACAGGGCTCAACTTCCTGTAAAAAAATAGATCAGTAGCGTGTAATTATGGGTAAATGACGATTAATTTATTTAATCATATGGCTTTTCTTTTAATATTTTTAAAAATTTCATATCAATTATGGTATGATTATGGTATGAAATTTTTAAAAATATTCTGGTTAAGATAATATTTTTAGCTCCTTATGTAAAAATCAATATAACTAATATGTTATATGCAAACAGTATGAGACAGTTCTACAATTAAGCCGTCACGAAATTAGAATTTTTTGAATTTTTTTTTATTGGTACATAAATAATGCACTTTCATTAAAAAAACATATTGTTAACCAAAAAAAACTTCATACATTCCATTTTAACTAATAAGTTTTTTTTTATTGCTATAATTATATAGAGTTGTCCGAAATACTCGAAATCCTGTATATGATGAAGATTTTACATTTTACGGACTTGATTTACAAGATTTATCAACAATGTCATTACATTTTGTTGTATTGTCATTTGATCGATATTCTCGTGATGATGTTATCGGTGAAGTTGTTTGTCCATTAAATACAATTGAATTGAAACAAATTGAAAATCAGCAAATAGCTTTAAGCAAAGAAATACAACCAAGAAGTCTAAAAATACGTGCACAAGGACGTGGCGATTTATTATTATCATTATGTTGGCAGCCAGCTGCAGCTCGCTTAACTGTTGTATTACTTAAGGCACGTAATTTGCCCCGTATGGATGTAACGGGTTTAGCTGATCCATATGTTAAAATATATTTGCTATATAACGGTCAAAGGATTGCTAAAAAGAAAACACATGTTAAAAAACGAACATTAAGTCCAGTATTTAATGAAAGCTTTGCATTTGATATTCCAACAACAGAGGTATCTAACATAACTATTTATATATTATTATGATTTATTTTTATATGAAAAAAAATTTACTTTATTTGTTTTTTTTTTAGGGATCGGGAGCTTCATTGGATAACGTTTCATTGGAACTAATGTTATTGGATTGGGATCGAGTTACTAAAAATGAGGTAGTTAAATAAAATATTGTTAAAATTTCACATTATTGGCAAATATTGTAATTGAATGTACTGAATGTAGTGAATGGTTTCGACGAAGAAAAGTAACTTTTTAATATCTAACAAAAACTATTGAGACTATAGACAATTTTGAAATTTAGCGTTTGTTTTGGGGTAATTATTGTCATACAAAGCGCAAAATAGTTTCATTATGTTTTTAGAACTGTATATTTGAGTTGCATTACTTACAGATGAAATCTGGCACAATAATGTGTCTACTAACTTGATCAGCATTATCAGTGACTTATGACGAATTTCTTCAATTCTTGTGATAGTTGCGAATTAAATTGAATAATATTTTTATCACATAGCTTAAAAAAATATTCAAGCTGCAAACGATCTATTTAAATTTTAAACAATTGGTCTATGAAAAAAATAAATGTAACAAATTACAAAACGTCGGCTGAGAATTATTTTATTCCACGCGCCATTTAGTCAGTTTCGAGAAAATCGAATTTGAAAGTTTGATTAAATTTAATGAAAAAACTAGTCGAAAAATGACCCTTTTTTATTATTTAATAATAATATTGGAACATTTTTCTTTAAATTTCAAGGTTGACCAAGGACACTCTAGAAGCTAGTTTAAAAGTTATAGGAACTTTTGGAAAGGAAGGTCACAGAATCGTTTTAGTCCACCTCATACATTTGTTGATTTTTTTTTTTACATTGTATGAGGTGGCCTAAAATGAGTTGGATATGGAATACTATAAAATAAACTGAAAATTTAAAAGTTCTTTTAAAAGTCTTGCCGTATGGCCTAAATTATTTTAAAAACTAAGAATGTCAAATAAAAACGAATTGTTCTTACTTTTTGTTTTTATTTTTTAGTTGAAGTAATTTAAAAAACATATTAAACATAACAGCTTTTTTTCACAGCATTTTTTTTCGTAAACTAAAAACATTAATTAATGATAACAATTTAATTTAAAAAAATAAAAAATGTAACAACTTCAGCCTTAAATATAATACGAGTAATAACATTTTATCATAACAGTTAAGAACTTAAAATATTTTTTTATAAAAAATTAGTTTCTGGTTTTTGTTTTTATTTAATTTTGAGTAGAGCTTGAAAATAGGTTCTATCAGTCTCTGGCAGGTACTTTAATAAGTCTTTTATATCATTTATTTTTTGCTTTGTCACTTCTGTTTTGGTAGATAGAATTTGTACTTTACTTTGTAATATATTTTTTGATGTCGGCAATGTTTTCTTATTGCCTTTTATAATTAAATTTATTATTTGGTATTCCACTTGTTCATAAGACGTTTTGTATTTAAAAATAAGTGGATACTCCTTTTCATACGACATTATTTTTAATTTATTAACAAACTTATAAGCTTGGAATGCATTTTATATGGATGTGGAATATAACAACAATTTTAGAAATTTAGTTTTATATTATTCCATGTCAATATAAACTCATTTAAACCAGGAACGTGGAATAAAATAATTCTCAACTTACTGCGAAACTTTAAATCCGGACACGTGTATGGCGGTGGATATGGAATATTATAATTACAAAAAGAAAAAAACTCATTTATCTATGGATATGGAATAAAAAAATTTAAAAATGGCGTTTGGCATAAAATTATGCAGACAAAACGGAAATATGGGTGGATATGGAATAAAATGAAACTCTGTATCTTGAAAACGAGATAGGAAAAAACCGATTGCAGATTTGAAAAGAGCGTACTTGAAAACCCATTATCCTATACGCAGTTTAAAAATGTCAAAATTGGCGTATGGACTAAAATAATTCTCAGTCGACGAAAAAAGTTAAATTTGAAAAAGCTTGCAGTATCGGAAATACATGTTAGGTGTTGAAAATTTAAATTGTTCATGAAAATTCAAAATTACGAATTTTGAACTGTGAGGACGTGAAGGTGGAAAAAAATTTTCTTCCCACGAAATACACTACATATTTTTTAATATCTTAAGACCGCTAAGAAATGAGATCCCTACATATGGTCTAGAAAAAAAATAATATCAAAAAAATGAAAAAAAAAAACGGGATTCAGATAAGGGTTGATTTCGTTAGAATAAATATTCAAAAAATGGGATTTTGAAGACCTTGAGAGTCTATAGCCTTTAGAAGGGTAGAGATGTATAAAAATTTTATTCTACGAAAATAAGATTCTAGTAAAAATTTTTGCTAATGTTCATGTAAATATGTAAAAATTCATTGGTCTATCTTGAAGGGTGTAAGAGTTTTGAAAATAGGTCCACGTATGGACGGAACGGAACTAATAAGCAATTTTTATCAAAAATTTTTGTGAAACCGCTAATATTAATATTTTTATTTTATTTTAGGTAATTGGAAGATTAGAACTTGGTGGACCAAGATGCACAGGATCAGCTCTAAATCATTGGAATGAATTATGTAATCTACCAAGGCGGCAAATTGCTGAATGGCATAAGTTACATGAATAAAAGAAATAATATAAAATCTTTATATAAATATAGAATAAAAATATTAAAAAAAAATAATAATCTTAAATCAAATATTAAGAAAAGTAAGAAAACAAAAAAAAAAAAACAGAAAAATAATAATAATTAAAAACAAAATAAAAAAATAATAATACTTAAAAAATGTATTGAAAAAGCTTTTTATTAGATGATACTAGCTGGTAACTGTTACGAGTTTATAAATAATAAAAATCAAAAAAAAACAAAAGTATTTAATAAGTTTAAATAAAATTCATTATATAATTATACTTTCATACATATATAAGTTGTTAGTTATATATTTCTATAATATATAATTAAATTTTCCTTAAAAATAATTAATAAGAATAATAAATAATAAATTAATTATTATTTCTTAAAAATTCTATATAATATTATTATATTATAAGATTTTTTTTTAAGGATAATAAGCGAAATTTGTGAAAGAAAACATTAGAATTTTTATGCTCGAGTCGAATATTATGACGTAACGATGTCCGAAATACTTACAATATGTTTTTTTGTATAAGTTCAAAATTAATATTCATTTGATAATTCATTTTATTTAAATTTAAATATTTTGTTAAATTAAGAGTGGCAAATATTTTAATTTTTCAATGACTCTTTCCAATATTTCCAATAATTTGCATATATTATTTTTCAATATAACTAATTAATTTATATTTTATTTTAATATTATCATAAGCATTTTATACACCTATTTAATGAGGAAAGTCTAAAACTATCTAGCACTGTTTGTTTCTTAATATTGAATATAATTTTTGTTAAATATTGAAAGATTTTTTTTATAATATGCTATATATTCTACTTCAAATGAATCTCAGTTAATATATAGATTATTAAATAATCTTAAAAATTATAATTAATGGCCCTGTTTGTTTATTAAAAAATTTACCGAAATTTTCGCATAAAAAGCACTTTCTGTTTTGAGAGGATTTGAATGTTATTAGAAAAACACAAAAACACGACAATGTCAATGTTAAATAGAGGCGACTTTCAAAACTTTTACAAATAAAATTTTTGTTTTTCTTTGTTGTACCGTGTTATTTTGCTGTCATGAATAGCAAACGACAGATGAAAGGTATTTATAAAAAAAATTTTCATTTTGTGTTTTCCAACAGAATTTTGAAAACAAAGTAAGCAAACAGGTCTATTTTTCACATATTTTGCAAAAATTAAACACGAAAAACACGAAATGGAATTTGAGAGAGTGGGAACAAAAAAAAATGTTAAGCAAAAAATTTAATAATTAAAAAATTAATAATAATAAATAATAATAATTGGAAAGGAAACTTTAAATAATTTTTAGTAAATTTTTATAATAAAAAAATTTTTAAACGAAAATTTGATAGTCGTCCATTTTGAATAAATTATGTTTTTATTTATTTTTCTTTGAATTTCTTTTGAAATATGAACAATATACATACATAACTTTAAGAGATAGTTCTAACATACTGAAAACAAACTTAAATAGTTCGGAAATTACTCGCTATAATTCAGAAATTCATTCTTTAATAAAGAAATTTCAGAAATGTAACGCAGACAATTAGTTTAAATTTTTATAAATAAATAGATCTATAAGTCTCCAAAATATTATTTTTACAATTTATTGAAAAATTTAATTTTTTGTTGTGAGTCGAATTCAATTCTTATAATTTATAATTTTTTGAAAAATTGAATTTTTTTTATTTGCCAAAAAAATATACTTACATTAAAATTTTAGTTAGGAAAAATGAGATATAGATTTTATTTTGTTAAAATTTACTAAAAAAGATGATAAAAAAATGATGATATAATATAAAAAAAAAATGAGAAAGAGAGAAAATATTTTTGTATATGATAAATTAATATTATATAGAATGTAAATTATACATACTTATGTTTCTTTTTTATATAAAAGATAAAAAAAAAATTAATAATAAAAAATTGTATTGATATTATTTTAAAAGTTTAAACCCTTATTCTTTAATTATTTGTTTTACCTGTTTTTTTTATACATATTTCATTTATATAATTAATTATAATCGTAATTATGAATTTTATATATAAAAGGAATGTTTCCCTTAACTTAACTTAATAATGATATTAACAAAAAAAAAGAACGAAAAATTATAATTATAATAAAATAATCCACAACAGAACTGTTATATAAAGTAGCATGATTCAGAAAATGCTATACAATCAGAAATATTTTGTTTGATTTCATGAAGTTTAAGAAATTTCCTATATACAAATTCAAAACATAAATTAAACACTTAACAAATATTAAACAAAAAACACAAAGTAATAAATACGTAATAACAATGCCATATTACATTAGTATTTAAAATTTTTTGTCTAAATTGTTCTCCAATATATATTCAAATTCGCAGACATATTTATAATATTTTCTCATTCAGTTTCGAACGAACTAAAACACAATAATATTGTTGAAATAATGTAAAAATAACTAACTTGGACCATAAATTTGGCACAAAAACATATATTTGAATCTGTAATAATTTAAGATGAAAATATAATATCTATGTTATATGCGCCATTTAATTAACACTTTTACTTATTATTTCGATTAAAAACTAAAAAACAAGTAAGAGTTTCCTTATTAAATTTATTTAGCTAAACAGCAATTAAATTTCAATTAAAAGCAAATCTAGAAAAAAATGGACAACATTTTAAATGTTAATTAAGTGTTATACAATTATTATATAGTAACAATGTCATGAAATCAAATATATTATTAATTTAATCAAAAACAAAAAAACATGTATAATATATAGATATATGTACATTAAAATTTAATATACACAATAATTATGTAAATCATCTTTTCGTTCTGATTATATTGGTAATAAATCTAATATAAAAGTTTCATATTGTTTATAAAAATAGAAAGTAAAGTAAATGCTCTGCTATTACAAACAATAAACACGATATATGTATATATTATATGTATGTTTAATCAATTAAGAAAATAATGCAAAAATTGAATAGACTTAAAAAAAAATAAGAAAAATTTTCATTCATTTATAATATAAAATAAACATTAATTTTTGTTCTACGAGTATATCAAATAATAACGCGCATATTAATATTCTGCTCCTGTTTTCAAATTATTAAAAATATTTTATTTTATTTATACATTTAGTTTATCAAAACACGTTTTACTAATAAATTTCAAATTCTTATAATATGTGTGATATGAAGGCATTCATCTATTTTAGGAATGCTTAGTAATTCGGAAAGGTTCGACTCTCTAATGGGTCGCATGTCCGTGTTATTGCGATTATACTGTACTATTTTTAGATAGTACAGAAATTAAAGAAATAATTAAAAAAATTAATTATTAATTTTTTTAAATGTGAAAAATTTTTTTCTAACAAAATAATTGATGAGCAAAAGAACAATTTTAATATTGCAAAACTGACTGCAATTTAAGTCTTACAAGTCTACTCAAAATATCAATTTACATTTTATTTTTGCCTTTGTTTCTTTTGTTTGTAATCGTATCAATTTAAGTATCGGATCGAATCCAAGGGAAGATTCAATGTATTCTTGCCTATTCACTGAATATATAAGTATGTCATGACGTGATAATAATAAATTCTCTTCTAACAGATTATTATAGAAACATTGAAAATCGCTCAAATATATTCGAGGATTTAAATGGTAAGGAAAAGAAAATAAGAAAATGGAAAGGATAAAATTAACTTTAACATCAAAATTTAATTGGATTATTTTAAATAATCCTGTTTTTAATTCTAGTGTTGTCTTATTACAACCTTTTCTTGCAATATATCCTTTTTAGAATAAAAATTAAAACACTCTCTCTCTGAGCTCGGATAAAACAATGCTCTTCACATTATTCACACAATATTATTGAAATTTTAATATTTGACAAGTACAGTCTATTAAAAATTCATGTCATTTAAATTTATAATAATTTTTTAATTTTATTAAATTTAATATATTTAATTTTTAATTTATTATAATTAAAAAAGAATTAATTAATTATTTCAGGAACAGGAACAGAATTCATCCTTTTATAATATTGAAAGAATATAAAACTTTATTATTATGTAATATGCCTATATACAGCATCTTTTTAATACAGTTCTTTATTAAATACAATTTTCTATGAAATAAAATTAGATGTATAACTATATTATAAATAAATAAAAGAAAAAATTAATAAGTATAAAATTGAAAGAAAAATTAGTAGAATAGTTAATAACATTTTTAAAAAATAAAAAAAAAATAAAAATTAAAGGCGTGCAATAGAATTTTTGTTTTTTTTTTTTGTTTATATAGCGCACTTTTTAAACTATACATACATACATAATATTATATGCGATAGAAATGATAGGTTTTAATATTTAGAGGCTTTATAAATTAAAAACTCTTATAATATTAAAAGAAAAACTCGTTGAGAACGAATTAACAAAAAATGTTTTGAATTAATTTCAAATTCTACTGAATTTTTATATTTATTTCATTGATAAATACAAGTTTTGTTAGCTTTATTTATTTATATAATTGCTTATTCAAACAATTATACAGTATTTTAGGTTATGTAAAATCACAAGTTGAGTTGAGATTATGATCGGCGAAGCGAATTCCATTTTTCGCGAATATGAATTTTTGTTATTATATTTGGAAAATTCGCTCAAATGTCAAGCGAATGAGCTATTAAAATTGACTTAAAATATATGAATGAAAATTCTGTTCGACAAACTTATCGAATGAAATAAAATATTTTGGTTTATAATATTGCGCCAATACGAATATTCTGACATCGCCAAGTTCAATTGTTTCCCTTAGCCGCACTAACTTCATCGATAATGATGAGGGCCTACATAAAAATACTTCAATTTATTGAGGTTATATAAAATTATAAGTTATTTTTATTTAAATTAAATAGTCCTTAAATATTTTACAATATTTACTAATATTAATATCCCTATTTTTCGTGTCAACGAGTTTATTTCAAAGATCTAAGAAGAAATCTATAAATATTTATAGATATACATACATATGTTGCTTATTTTTATAAAGTTTAACTTCAATTTTTATTAAAAGATTATTTTTAACAGAAATATCAAATTTTCTTTTGAAAAATTTGTTTTTAAATAGACCCCTTTTGCATAGATAGAAAGAACATGAAGACATATCCTTAAATGTAGTAGATCCTGTACAGTATACATACATACATTAAATATAATGATATTTTAAAACCGGTTTTTAAATTTTTGTTTGTTTTTAAGTTAGGCTTGCATTTCGATACGTCATGTATTTTTGTGGTACTTATATATTTCTAAAAAAATAAACATGTATATTTATTTCTATAAATGGTGTGTTTTGAAAGTTCTAAAATATATTATGTATTCAAATGATTTCGAAATTAAATAATAAAAATATTTTAATTTTATATATATTTTTCCATTGAAAGTGTCACAGTAGATTATTCATACTTATATTCAATTTTTTATTTAGTAATTTATTAATTTTCTAATTATACTTAGAATAGTAATTTCATTATTATGTATAATATAAAGCTAAAACATATAAAATGAGAAATATGTAAATTTTTATTTTTAATTAAACTATAAAACGCCAATGATTAATAGTTGAATTTCTTACTTTTTTAGAGCTGTGTTTAAGATATAACAATGATAATACATAATATGTAGTATGTAATAATTACTCAAAAAATCTAGAAATGAAAAATTAAAGAAAATTATAAAGAAATCTTTACTCTCAATTATTAATTTCTTCAGAATAAAAAGGTAAAACATAATTATACAATATTATATACATATATTAATGAAAATTAATATATCAAATAAAAATTATTTAAAATTTAAGAGGAAATCGTAAAACAAAAAAAAAGAGAATAATAAAATGATAGAAATTTATAAAATGCTCTATACATTTAATAAATAAAAATTATAGTATTTAAAGAATAAGAGAAAACAAAGAAAAAAAAAATAAGAATACCATAACAAAAAAAAAATTAAATAAAATTTAATTACACAATATTATTTGAAGAAAATACTATTATTATATAACATAACAATTGTACAAAATTCAATAAATAAATAAATAAAAATAAAAATGAAAAAAATTATTTATTTATTCTAACAATATGTGTAAGAACAGTGTGAAAGAGAAAAGAAACAGTGTGAAATTAAAGAGCAGTTTGCATAATTCAAGAGAGCAGCTGTTTTGTTTTGAAAGATCTTTAATAATTTTAGATGACATGAATTTTCAATTGCAAACAAAAATAAATACGAATATAAAATGTGCTTTAAATTTGTTTCTAAGACCCGTTAGACAACATTGATATTATTACATAAATGCATTACGTTTTTCACTGCTTAACGGAATAGATTACATTTTGTCACTTATCAATTTGGTCAATCTGTACACAGATCGGTTTCCCCCTCTCCAACAAATTAAATTTGTAGTTTTGTAATAATAAAATTAATGTCATCTATTTTATATCCAAAAATTTTTGAGGTGAACCAAAGAATCTTGTAATTCAAAGCCATTGGCTTTCGATAGAACTTATAATTTTTATGATAAACATTTTTTACACAGTTTTTCATTATTTTATTTATTCATCTTGCTAAATCCAGTTAAAATTTAAATGATAGAGATATAAGACTTTAAATCTGCCAGGTATATAATTGCTTATAATTATAAATCGGCTATAACTTTTTAAACCACTAAGCAGCGTTCCCACTTGGATACAATTGTATCCATTTGCATACATTTTTGCTTTAAATTTAGCGTGGATACAAAGATACTCAAAATCTGGTAAAATGCCACAATTGGCTACATTTAAAAATTTTGCTGAAATATGGATTCATTCTTTTCTCAAAAATTAAATAAATATTGCAAAACTGTCGAAGTGCTGCTAATATGGAATCACAAAATTCCATTATCTTCAAAAAAAATTATTTGCTGATTTTACTAAACACACTTCCAAATTTTTTAGAAGAAAGTAACAAGGACAATTAAATTAGTGCACAAGAACATACCAGAAACATGTTGATAAAAGCTAAGTGTAATAAAAAATGTATTGACTGTACATATTTTTAAAATTTGTCCGTTTTTATGGTGAATCATCTTCAACGTCTAGAGAACGTATATTTTTTTAGCCTAACTTTTACAATTAAAATGTAATAAAAGTTTTATGTTATTTCTTAAAGAATTTACTATTAATAACGAAACTCACATTGTTGAATAAAGCAAATTAATATTAATGATTAATTCCATATCATTAATTCCATATCAGTGCCATAATGGATTTTGATTTTAAAATATTCAAATATTATTTCGATACTCGAATAGAATATGAAATGAAATGTAAGGTAAGCCGCAAAAGCAGCGACTTATGCATATGTTTCGACTTAAAAGCTATAAGTTTTATTGACAGACGATAAGTTTGACATTCTCTTATTCAACTAGTAATCATACGAGTTTGACGTTTGTCTAAGAGCCGCATATTTGTAAACAAAACAAATACACATAGACTCTAATTTAAATTTTAAGTATTTTAAAGTTTTTGATTATAGGTAATTGATTTTGAAACATTTGAGAAATTTCAATAGGAACTTTCTTACTTACACTTTCAATTACTTGTGTACTAAAATGATTTTGAAGTCTTTGGAAATTTTAAGTGCAAGTTTAAAATTTCCCTACACTATATGTCAGTACTCACAAAGCACAATTTACAGCCTTTCGTCAGGTTTGTTTTCCTTTTGAATTAATTTGTTTTATTATAAGATCAATTTATACAGGACATGGAAAATGTGGCGTATCAGTGATACGAGTGTCAGGACCTAAAGCTAAACTTGCTCTAACAAATTTAATTGGCAAAAAATTTGAACCAAAGCCACGTTATGCTTATTTAAAATCAATTTATCATCCGAAAAATGGTGACAAAATAGATAATGGCTTAATTCTTTGGTTTCCCGGTAAAAATACCAAATATAAGAACTTGATTTATTAAAAAAAAATTTTTGCTATTTTATGAAGGTCCGAGGAGCTTTACTGGTGAAGATTGTTGTGAGTTTCAAGTACATGGTAGCATTGCTGTAGTGAATTGCATTTTGGGGGCATTATCTACAATTCCAGAATTTAGACTAGCTAAACCAGGTGAATATACAAAGAGATCTTTCTATAATGGAAAACTTGATTTAGTACAAGCTGAAGGGCTTGCTGACTTAATCCATTCTGAAACGGAGTCACAAAGGAAACAGGTTATAAATTTTACTAATTTTATTGTGTTTGTACCTATTTAACAGTTTTTAGGCTTTGCTTCAAGCTAATGGTACATTATCAAAATTATATGGAAACTGGAGAAACAACATTATACGGAGTATTGCACATTTAGAAGCTTATATAGATTTTGCTGAAGATGAAAATATTGAGGATAATACCATACTCGAAATATATTCTAATGTAGTTAATTTAAAAAATTCAATAGAAGAACATTTAAATGATAATCGACGTGGTGAAATCTTACGAAATGGTGTTCGAACGGCAATAATTGGTAGACCAAATGTTGGGAAAAGTAGTTTTATGAATTATTTATGTCAAAGAAGTATTTCTATAGTGACTTCGACACCGGGTACTACGCGTGATATAATTGAAAGTAGTGTAAATATAGGAGAATATCCAGTAGTTTTTGCCGATACAGCAGGTTTAAGAAACATAACTGAAGATGCAATAGAAGCAGAAGGAATAAATAGAGCAGTAAATTATATTAAAACAGCAGATTTTGTTATAATTATTTTTGATGCAATGGATTTGATTCGGCACTTAAATCAAAATAAAAGTGTTAATGAATATTTAAGAAGTTATACAGAATCCTTAAGGTTGCCAAATAATGTTTTGATTGATAAAAAAATAATTAGAATAGCTAACAAAATAGATTTATTATCGGAAAATGAAATGCAGAAAATCGTCCATATAGGTGGTTTAAATTTTATGTCATGTAAAACTAATCAAAGTATAGAAAAGGTTATACAACAGATTAAAATATGCTTGGAAGAAATGTAAGTAAATTGAGTTATAAATTATAAATGAACATATTGAGTAAGTCTTTTGAGAAAATTATCAACATTTCAGTTGTGGTAATCCGGTACCGGAAAACCCATATTTAACAAAAGAACGCTATCGTCAAAGTCTGAATCAGTGTCTTCAAAATATTTATAGTTTCTTAGAAAGTTTTCAAATCGATTTAAATAAGAATCAAGATGCAATAATACTAGATGAAAATCAAGATTTAGCGATATTAGCACAAAAACTAAGAAAAGCTGTTCGTAATATAGAAGAAATAACTGGTCATATAAGAATTGATGATATTTTAGATGTAATTTTTAAAGATTTTTGCATAGGAAAATAAAAAGAATTTGATAATAACAATCAGAAATGGGTATGTAGCGCAGAAAATTAATTTTTTTTTTATTGGAAACTTGAACCTTTTCTTAAATGGTTTTAAATTTTAATTAGTTCAGCAATTATATTTAGTTTATTCAGCAATATGCTACGCTGAATAAAGCGAAGTCGTTATTTTCTAGCATATGCTCAATTTTAAACTTCTTTTAAAATAGTTCTAGCAGTTCATAGATGGCTGTTATAGATTGTGCAAAATTAGTCAATAACATAAATTAAACTAAAGGTTGTTGTCAAGAATAAATAAGGAATTATGTATATCCGGAGGTAATCACGTGATTCATAAATACATACATATGTAACCTTCGGAGTATTGCAAGCATAAACTAAATACCCTTTAATAAATTTACCAAAAATGTTCTAAAAATATGGAATCCTTGCGGACATAAGCAAAAATTCTTAATGTTACATCCATGTTTATAATTAAAATTCAAACCAATAGATGCCACAGTTTTTAACAAAGCCATCTCGTGTCTAGAAAAGGTATATTTGTGTTTTCTATATTTTGCAGATAATTCAACATGCATTTTCTTTAGCATTAAAACCAACAGTTATGTGCAATTTTTTACTTGATTTTTGAAGGATTGAAATATATTTTCTAAAATATAATACGAACTGAACAAGGAGTAAAAACAAAATATTGCAGGACAAATCTAAATAAATTTTTGAGCAAATTTCATTTTTTTCAACTACGAAAGATAACATAATGTAGTTGGAGCAGTTGGAGTTAAAACAAAAGAATTAAAAATTATTTAAAATGAAGAAAGTCAGATGGCGGTAGCATGAAGTAAGGCTGATATATTGGAACAATCAAATGATTAAGGCTTGTTTTAAAGTTCTGAAGAAAATTTATTCAAAATCCCAGATTGATTGAGTTTTAATAATCATGTATTAGCGATTTAACATACAATATTTAGTAAAATCTAAAATTATTATTAACTGAGGTTTTTGGCCTCAGCTTAATTCTGTTTGTTTCAGTAAATCAAGCTAGTTTTTATCATTTAAATTCAACTTAATTCAGTTTAATTTCTTTTTAGTACCGAAGAAACAAAAGATGAAAGTTGAGTTCAGGATTTGGTTAGATGGTTTGCTGGATTTGGTTAGATGGTTTGCAGGATTAGTAAATATTTTTATTTTGGTCAATGACAATTTAATTATAATTGCTCAAAACTGAAAGTAGATGGTTTTCATCTTAGACTCGGAATTTGTTACACTCGTTTTTAACTATGTTGAAAAAACTGGAATTATTTTTACACAAAATTTTTATTGATGTAGGAAAAGTTCTTTGCTAAAATCAAATTTTAATTTTTGAATTAGACAAGATTTTATTTTTTAAAAGTATTCTACACTTTTTCACATAACTGCTTCTTATTTAACAATTTAATTAAAGTCAAAATAGCAAAGATGTACTTACAAAAAAAAAAAAAACATAAATTTACAAAATAATTAACAATACTAACATGGTATTAAAATGAAAATTAAAATTTTGTCTAACACAAAATAAAATTTAAAAAATATCAACATGAAGTTTTTGTGAAAAATCATATAATTCATAAACTAAAGCAGCTAATTCTTTGTCTACAGTTTCGCCACCACGGGTTGTAGTATCCTTAATAATTTGCTCTTCATTTTTAGCTTGATTAAGGAACTCTTCAGTTGATTCCAATGCATGAGGCTCATACAAAGTTGCTAAGAAACTTGAAGCAATACCTAAACTATATGGCAAATAACGTACATATTCTTCAAGCATGCTGTTATAGCTGAAAAAAGCAAATAAAATAAAAAATTATTTTCTAATTAATAAATAATGGAAACATGTATAAAAATATTAGGCAGATATGAACGTTAACAAAAAGTGAAGTAAATTTCCTAATATAAGTAGAGCTGTAACTAAATATTGCATATTTTGAAATTGGAAATAATTGCAGCAATGCTTTACCTACAACTTTGAGTTTAGAACAATTTATCATTAAAACAAAGTATGTAACAATTAATAAGTAACTATTAACACGGCTTAGATATAGAAAATCAAGTAGATGAAAAATACATAAATAAATTAGCGACATTAAGTGGCTGTTGTTTCCCAACTCAAAAAATTTGTCGGCAATTAATCAAATATCAAAAGAAACATTTTATAAGTTGTAGGATAAATGTGAGTTTGTAAACTGGGAAACAAGGATAAATAAATTATAAGCAAATTTTAGAATTAAATTTTAACATTGAGATTTTTTATACTACCAAAACTATTTTGTGAATTTCATTATCATTTGCAATTGCACACCAATTATTTCTTAAAAATATGTAATCAAAGTGCACATAGGATGCATCTACTGAAATATTAAAATCTTAATGAAATCAATTGATTAGTTTATTGCTGATCAGTTTAAAAATATGCAACGTATGAGAATGATCCCAATTAATTTCCTTCTCATACCAAATGAGTAAAAATATTAATTGAGATAGACAGAATAAGAACCTTCATCCTACAAAACTTTTAAGGTTACTTGGATAATTCATATATGCATGTATGTGTAAAATGAAATAGGTGCTTGAGTAATATTTTAAATAATTGTACTTATATATTAAATATATAAATTAATTCAGTCAAATCGTGTATGTATGTAGATATGTAAATTCTATTATCGAAAAAACATCAAAATATTTTGATGAATAAACATTTCTTCTCTTTTTTTTTGCTTCTTTCTTTATAAAACGCAATTACGCAAATATGTACAAGGATTGCCAGTTTTTTTTATAATAGATAAAAGGAAAATTTGGAAAAACAAAAATTTTCTAAATAATCTCATAAAAGGTTTTTTTTTTTTTTTTGCTTCTGCTTATTTCGATTGTTAACTTCCATTCTATATTTCTTAAAATAAATAGATCATATAGAGAAGAAAAGCAAAAAGAATTCTATTTTCATAATTAAAGAGTCAAAAAATTTTCCATAAAAATAAAAACATTTCCAAAATTCTTTTGGCTTTTCATTTATTTGTTTCCATAGAATTAATTTTCATTATCATTTCATATTTTCAACTAACAAGAATAATATTTATTAAGTACATACATGTGTATACATATATATATATATATATATAATGTAAATGTACCTAAACTTGTGTGTTTTAAGATTGGACATAACCATGTAGATAATGACTACATTATTAGTATACTTTTGAAATATTTTAGTTTCCTTTTTTTAAGGAAAAAACAATTTTGGTATTTGTGTGTACGTATGTGTATCTTGAATTACTTTCTGTGATAAACAAAATTTGTGTAAGTATGTACGTGTATATGAAAAATTTTTCTAATGAATTTATGTAAATTATTTTTCTTTTAAATTTTTCAATGATTTCGTTAGAATAATTTCCTTTCACTTCCTTTTATATAACTTTTTCGTTAAGATTTACTTCAATATACAAATATGAAACAGAATAATGGTAGTTCAATATAAAAGCATACGGTGTTCAAAAAAATCAAGTTGTTCGATTGTTTTACAATTGGAGAAGGAATTTAAAAACATTTTAGGTAAACTATCTAAACATACTCTTCGGAAAATATGTTTGTTATTACTTAATAATTAAATTTTGCGATTTTTGGGGAAAAAAACTCGAGTCGAGTCGAGAATTCTTGAATTATTGGAGAAGGGAGGATACAGCAGAAAATTTTTTATAAATTTTATATTATCTTTGAAAATTTTTGAGACATAATACGAGTAATTAAATTATGACGAAAATTTTAAGTGAAACAATAGAAAAAATTGAGTTTTTCGAAAATGCCAAAGTTGAGTTTTTAGATTAGATTTGAGTTCTAAATGAGTGTGTCTTCAAGGAAATTAAATTAATAAAATTGAAAACAATTTACTGCAAAAAGAAACATTGCAAAAAAGTAAACTTAAGCAGATTATGTTTGTAATCATTAAAGTTTTCTTGTGTTCTTTGTGAAAATAGACCGAAAATTTTAATATTATTTAACAGAAATGAAAGTCAAGTGTACTACTTGTTTCTACTCGTACGAACGTATGATTAAAGGGTATTTTATATTTGCTTTATACCGCTTGTAACGGTAAGAGATAACGTTCGCCTGTCCCAGTGATAACTCAAAAACCAATTGAGTTAAACTCACCAAATTTTTACAAGAGATTTAGTAAACGGCGGATCTCTATTTAAACTGGATATGATCCAGACACTGGTTCGCAATAATAAAATGGCGGCTATATTCATTAAAATTTATGTCGGGACCTCATGAGCACATGTTTATAATCCAGAAGATATTATGTTAGGGCTACTAAGGTGAAATGTTGAGCAAAGGAATTTGGTGATATGGTGATCATTTTGAGTAAAATTCTTTTAGTCATATATGTACACGTAACTATCATATACATTAATGTGTTTGTTTGTTTAGTGAGTGGGCGACAACTAAGCATAAATAAAATTTTGCATATATGAAACAATTTAAATATAATGTGTACGAACAAGTGTAGCCAGGGCGATCACTAAGCATAATAAAAATTTTGCTTTGTGATATAATTATATGTGTACAAGCGAGTGTTGATAGGGAGCAATCTCAGCAAAATAAAAATCTTGCTTTATGAGATAATTATATGTGTACGCATGAATGTTGATCTTATTCATATTAAACAATATAAATTATGTGCGCATGTATATTTATGAATATTTTTATTTTTTGCGTATCTTGCTTCTATGCATATTATATGAGACGGTTTCACTTATGTGTTTGTAGGATTGAATGTGTATAGCTGTATGAAATAATATTTTCTGTGTATAGGCATAATATACGAATTTATTCTAGTATATATGTCAAAGGAAAAATTAATAATTGCAATTCTGATGATTCATACATTGAAAAAAATATTTTGTGTATTCGTACAATAAATATAAATAAAAGAGTGGTGTAGAGTAAGAAAATGTATCAATAATTTTCGTTCTACGAACATTTTCATTGTTATTAACAAAATATTATGTTTGTATGTAAGTACATTTTATCAAGTTAATTTCGCTGTAAATTGAATTAAATTTGTATCAATTTTTTTTTTTTTAAATTTATGGTTTTTTAAAGTTTTCAATGGTGCCCCTGCTTTTTGTCGCCCACTGCAAATGCATACTTTGCATATATGAACCGTCCGTCCCTGTTAAAGGGTAAGTAATTTTATATTTAATTTCCAATTTCTAAAGAAAACAAAAAAATATACACATATGTTTTCGTATATATGTGTATATAACTATATATAGACGCCACATTTTATTGTTTTACTAAAAGTTGTGAAATAACCTTCATAAAACACAACAACATTAACGATAACTAGATTTCCAGTGTACGCTACTAGATTTCCAGTGTATACTATACAAAAAATGTTTATCTCTTTGAACAGATAAACAGTTACACTAAGTAGAAAAGTATTTACATTAGCTGAAAATCTAGTAACCATAACTTGAAACCTAGTTGCTAAGTATTGATAGTATATAGACTTTTGACAAGAATATTTATTACGATCGTAAATTATAATTACTGTATTAAGAATTTTCTGAGCTCAGAATTTTAGTAATTCCAAATTGACAATATGATATTTGTAATTTTCCTAATTTCAGAGCTACGAACGAAATTCATGATAGCTCTTAATTATCTTATAAAAGATTTTTTCCTTTAAAATTCATTTTACACATTCTTGCTATCTAAAAAACTTAAAAAAATTTAATAAATATTTTCATTTTTTTTTTTTACCTTAGATAATCAGGAATTTTATTTGAAGTTCTGCTTTCATATGTGTCTTTTAATGAATCACAATAGCTTTTGAAGATCCTTTCGAAATTTTTTTGTCTTGTATCTTTACCACTCGACAGTGATATAAATGTTGTTAAATCACACATTGGCGATGAATAACGTAATGTTTGAAAATCAAACATCATGGCTGCGGTAGGTAAATCTTTATCCTGTTCAAAAATAAAACAAAATAAAAAGGAATAAAATTTAATTTCGCCAATATAAGCAATTGTTCTTTTTGTTCTTAGAAGAAAAATTTGTAAATATAAGAATTTTAAAGATAATGTCCATTTATTGAACTTTTATAAAATTATATTTTTGATTTACCTTAGTATTTTTATATTGAAATGCTACATTATTTCTTAAATAATCACCATGACAAAGTATTGCTTCTGGTTCAATTGGTCTTAAACGTTCTTTACCTTGTTCAAAAATATTACTTAAATCTTGATTTAATTTTTTTAAAAAATTTTCTGGTATCATATTGCCATAATATTTTCTAGCTGAATTTATTGAACGTTGACCAGCTGTACGTAATATTAAATCCCATTCTGGTGGTGGTTCTTTAGCATATCTTGATTCACCCAATAATTTAATAATACTTTTAAAAAATTCGGGATTATTATGTTTCAAATCATAACAAATTCCATGAAATTTTCCAATATGTTTTGCTAAAAATTACCAAAAAAGCAAAAAAGAAACAGCAGAAAAAGAATAAAAATAAAACTAAATTAAAACATAATGCAAAAGTAAACAAAATTAAAAAAAAACATTTAAAAAAGAAAAAGCAAAATAATTTTTTTTAAATAAAATGATTTTATTTTCGAAATTGAATTTTAAATAAGCATATTAAAGTAAAGATTATTCAGCACCGAGTATTTCAAATGTGAATTTATTAAAAAATGAGTGACAAAGAAGAGATGGAAGTAAAATAAAGTACGTGGCTCCTAATTTAGTCGTAGAATGCTGTTCAATAGAATTTTATTCCGCTAGTAGGAGTCTTTTTCAAAAATAATCGGAATATTTTGTATAATCAAATATTTTCTTTTGATTTTTATATTCAATGAGATTTCATTACCGTGACACATTGACTACGTTTTTATATTGCAATTTTAAGCTAAGTCATCTTTGTTTTCATCTCCGGGTATGCCATTGAAGGGTATTCAATAATTTATCATTTAAAATTCTATTTCTTTTAGTTGTAATTGAGCTTTCATTTACACCCCAGGACTCAATAGCATTCACCATTAAAACAAGAACATGGAACATGGATAAGAGTGAAATAGTAAATTGAGTTTAAGGTTAGTGCAGCTAAGATTTGTGTAAAAAAAGTGTATAAGCTCTTCAAAAATCCTAAAATAAAATTATTATTGAATAACCCTATTTGATCATATTTCTGTATTAGATACATACATATGTATAATGCCTAAGCATTACTCCACTTATATTTTTATGTCATATAGTGTGATGCTTGTATATACATATATACATTTGTACATACACGAATGTATTAGTTCCCTTGATTATTGTGTGAAAATCAAAAGAGAATGAGTACATTATAAAATTTCCATTTTTATTATAATGTTCGATTTTTGTAATGGAAAGAAGATTATCCTCTTAAGTACTAAATCGAATAAATAAATATATATATACTTACATATTATGTATTTATACATTTATAAATGATGTATAGAAAAGTTTATTAAAATTTTCATTTGACCACCAAAGCAATTTTTTTATCGAAAAATGTAATTTGCTGTTTGCATTCATAGTTAAATTTCGATTTTGAATATAAAATTTCCTTGCTTACGTTATGGTTGTTAGTCTCATTCGTTTAAAGTTTAATTTTAATTCGTAGGGATTTTTTCAAAATTTCAAATTTGTATAATGTGTATGTTTATTGTATAGATGTATTTTAGGATGTAAATAGAATTATTGTATTAGAAAATACAAAATTATGTAGAGATGAAAAGAAAAAGAAAATTAACCTTGAAATTAAGGTTAAAGGACGAAAATGATCAGTCGAGTTTTTTAACATGAAATTTGGATTTTTTTCCAAAATACTCGTGTATATTAAAAATAAATGTTGCCCCATGACAGAAAAAAGCTCAATGATGTGAAATTATATTTCGAAATATGTAGTAGAAAAAACTCATTTCAACATTGTATGGAAAGCAACAGTTTTCTTTTATATGCACGAAAGATACTCGATCCTGTATACTTTAAAGTAACAAGAAAATTAAATACATACATTCATACTAAATTATGTACGTATATTAATTATAAAATTATAAAAATATTTATACATTTTGCCTACATGTTATATACTCGTATATATGTGAACATATCCAAAATGTTATGCTGCAAAGGATTACACATTATTATTTTCTGTTCTGTTTGTTTGTATGCTGATTCCAGGACTCATTCAATTACTACGAGTATTTGCTTGATTGCTTCATTTTAATTTTTTTCTCTCTTCCTGTTTACTTTTCTTTTTGGATATTTATGATGTCTTTTACATAGAACCAAAAACATATATTAACCTTAATTAAATTTAAAACTCGACTGGATATTATTCTGTTTTTTAAAAGTTTTCGAAATAAAAAAAATGGAAAAAGGGGGTTTTCACTCTGTTAGTCCGTCCGTTGTTGTCAGTCTTTGTCTGTCCGTCCATGTGCCGTGATCACAAAACTTCTACAATTTTTAAGGTAGCAAACCTTAAGTTTAACAAAGAAATGTTCTTTTAAGAAAAGTTTTTCTGTTTTGTTTTCTTTTCAAGTTTTGCATTCGCCTCTTATCTCAGAATTGCAGCTCACACAATTAGCGGAAAAGTACAATTGGAAAAATTAACCGTTATCTGGAATTTATTTTTTTTTTAATTTCTGATTTTTCTTTTAGACACCTCTTTTCCCTTCCAAGTTATATCCAAATGTGAATTTTCAGCGCCTTATATTTCTAGAACATCCCGTTATTCAACTTACTTCAGCTTCTAATGTGACCCAACAGCTCAAGGAAAAAAGTACTTAAATAATTTTATAAATAGGTTTTCTTAAGGAAAACCTTAACGAGGTTTTCAGGAAACAGTTTTTCTTTATAGTTTTTATATTATTGATTTAACAGTTTCAGGACGGTTTCTTTTAGGATTCTGTTAAACAAAAATTATTTCAGTGTATTGATAAAAGAAAAGTGTGAGGTCATAAATTATGATTTTAAGTCGAAATTAAGTCGGTTTTTATTTTTTTCTAATTCAAAACTTAAGTCAACTCGGTTGTTTTCGCGCAATTTCAGTCATTTAAGTTTTAGGAAGGTTATGCTGTTTACTTTGGTGCAGTGGTTATGGCACCGGCCCTTTAATCGAAGGGTCTCGGGTTCAAACCCCGGTCAGGTCACTATAAAAATTATATTCAATATTATATAACTTAATATACAATACTAATAAATATTATACAAGTAATTTTCAAATATTCATAATATTCGATACTAAAGACTAAGAAAAATAAATAGTTAATATTAATAAACTGAAATATTTAATATAAATAAAAAAAAAAAAAAACTACGGTAGCCTAGTCACCTACCTAGCTACCTCTCTATGACTGTAGAAACTAGGGCATGATAGATATCATGCACTAGCATTATACTCCTCCTAGGAGTAAAGAAGGAAAAAAAAAATGCTGTTTACTTTAATTTACAAGGAATTTATCATAGAAATTGACTGAAGTGATAATGTAGGTCGATAGTCAATAAAAAATCAATGAAATTGCTGTAACACAACTTTTTTTTTGGATTTTTGACTTTTTTTTGAAGCCGTCTCCATCTTAACACATTTCCAATCATTTTTATTTGCTCATCCTAACTGTATGCAATAATTTCATATATTTTACTAGTACACAATAAATGTACTAATAAAAATATATATTTCAAATATCCAATAAATTGTTTTTGAAAAAAAATAGTATACCCGTATTAAAGTAGATTTTAAAATATAATATAAATATATTTAATTTAAAATAGAATAGTATATTAAAAGAAAAAGTTCTACTTTACAAACCGGAGTCTGGTATGATCTGAATTTATTATGAATAAGATCAATAGAACAATGTTTTCTTATACACATGCAATAAGCGTGTATACAATGCCTAGATTTATTCTTATGTATGTATGTATATAGATATGTGTACATACACAAAATTATGTTATATAAATATTAATTTATTATAAAGTACATGGTGTACTCAATTAACAATTTATTTATTATTTTAAAAATTTGAAAGGGTACTCACGTAGACGTAGGCTTTCGAGCATATTTTGCTGCATATGAGAAATTTACAGAACTGTTATAATTTTTTTTTTGAGTTATTTAAGTGAGTTGATTTTCTACGTTTATGAGGCATTTAATAGTTCTTTATGAGCAAATAATCGCATTATTGAAAAAATTAAACATGGAATTGTTGATATTAAAGAAAAAGTTATGACTCGAATAAATTGAGGATAAATCATGAATTCTTGGTTTAAATTTCTTCATTTTATTTGTTATTTTAAAATCATAATAAATAATTAAATGTTGAACTTTTCAATTCAAAGAAAATTATTCAATTTTCATTACAGCCAAGAGTAATTGTTAAAATATCAAATCAAGTATTCAATATTTGATGTAACAATATATTGGATAGATATTTGCCATGCAAAATATTACATACTATGAATATACTCTAAATTTTAAAATTATTACTGAGATGTATGTTATGTACATTATGTGTGTATATGACCTATATGTTGGGATATATTTTATTTGTACCTACATATACACATATTATGCATGTATGATGTCAAAAATTTCTTATACGCAATTGTTTAAATACGTGTTTGCGCGTTTGTATATTTGTTCCATACATATGTAATATAAAATAAAAATATTATACAAAATTGTACAAAGTACCAACCCTTTAAGTTCAAATGTACAATATGTAAGCATAACAGTATTTTGTCTGCAGTGCCTATATACAAGGAAATCAGGCATATAAGACGAATTTTTATTATTTTTGTGTCTTTTTGTGTGGATGTTTTATAACAATCAATATTTTTAAATCTCTTTGTTGAAGAAAATTAATATAAAGGACTTCTTGACTATTACATGTGCGAAGCATGTATATGTATAATTGAACATAAAGCAAGGAGAAAGGAGTCCCCCTCCCTGAAAGAAGTGTTTTCATTTTGATAAGAGCTCTATTATTTCTATATTACAATAATAAGATTATATTTTTTTTCTATATTGTTAAATTGTCTTTTTTAATAAATTTTGTATTCCTCAATTAATTTTTTTGTAATGAAGTAAATTTTTCGTAAAGTATTTAATTACAATTTATGAATTATATTTACATTTTCTAAAATTTCCATAATAAGTATATTTACATTTATATTCAAAGTAATATTATATCTGTAAATAAATAAATGCACCTACATATGTAGGTACCAATTATATCGAATAAGGTTGAAACATGTTGCTATACAATCAAACATGTTCGATTATAACACGCATATATATTATATAAGAAAATATTAACTGCTTTACTTAATCCACATGTAATTTTTTAAGTTCCTCGTACTATTTGTACCTCTCAAGTTGTATGCAATTATTTTTGACTCTTTAATCATTGTTTCATACAAAGTTTTTGCTTATAATCATAAATAATTTTAATTTGAACTACCAACAAGTACGAAGATTTAGAGTGCATAGGCATAAAATTTTTTGACAAACTATAAAACAAAAATTTTACTGAGACATCTAGCGTTTAATTTAGAATATATGAATTAGTATTTAATATTACAAAACAGGTCAATAGCAGAGTACAGATACATGTTGTCATCACTGGTAAAGAGTACAAAGTTGACATAAAACATTAATTTTGCAAGTAGGAAATGCATAGTGACATAACATGGATACACGTACAAGAAAAATTGTTCCCAAAAGGAAAATTCATATGTATGTATGTATATAAACGAATTATTTCACATAAGACTGCACCATCTCAATTTTATTCGATTTTATAAGAAAGTTAAATTTTTAAATTTGAATTTATTCCGATTTCGAAAATCTAATAACATTATCAGGTATTATCCTTAAAATATACTTCGTATTATGCATTATTCGGTAGCAGCAAGTTCTGGTTATATTTTTATCTTAAATATGTTAACTTCAAAATTTCAATAAAACGTTTAGTATTAATGATTAGGATTATAAGTAGCGATTGCTTTACAACAATTAAAGCACTCCTTATACTACAAGTAGTAAAAATAGGTTCTAAAAATATTTAATAAATGATTTTACTTTATTATTGAATAAAAAATTCGGGTGATTCCACTAGATGTGCAACATAAGTAGTGAGTAATAAACTGCAAAATTTTCGAAGAATAACTTTAAGTTTATTTAACACGTCCAGTGCAACAAGACTGTATAATTCACACTCAATTTGGCCAGTGCGTTTTAACACCTCGTTGCTATAAATGAGAAAGTGTTGTTGCAACACTCTAAAAACAACATAATATAAAACGTTCGTTCAACTTCAACTGAAACTAATGAAACAAAAAATAATAGTCAGGTATTCAATTTTGCAAAATTCATTTGAGATATCGGAAAGGATTTTCATGAAATTACTTCGCCTTAATTTCAGCCCCAATTAAATCTTTTATGTTTTTCACGGGTTCAGCAGCCTTTTCGATTATTAAGGTTTGAGAAGCAAATGATAGGGTAGACATTTTATTGAGGAAATTGTCCATCCATTAACAAATCCATACTTAAAAGAAAGTTGCTAAAATTATTAATTTTTATTTCAAATCTTTGGCAATTAAAAATATGGTCTATATTTTGGTTTATATTGTAGAGTTGAATAAAAAACTTCTAAGAAATTATGAATATAAATAAAAAAAATGGAAAAATTTTCAAAAAAAGACCAAAAAAAGTTGAAAAAGGTCAAAATATGTTAAAAAGGGAAGAAAGATTTCTGTAACTAAAACTATGTCAAAAAAGGTATAATGAAATCGATGTCCTAATCAAGACCTAAACATGAAAGACATCAAATAGGTATTTACTTAAAAATCCTAGCCCTAATTATAACACTATAGATAATTTGTTTGTATTTAAGTCGAGATAATAAAGGTTTCTACAAAACTATTGGATATTTTAAAATTGTATAATAATTAAGGAATATTTTTTTTTTACTTACCAGCCAATAATAAATGTTCAACTGACAAATCAACTTGTTTCTTAGACATACACCAACCATCAACAACAAAGTCACCTAATACAATACATGCTTCATCATCTTTTAAATGTGAATAGTAATATTTTGGATAATTATCCCATAATGTTAAGCTAGCTGTTGGTGATCCTAATTCTGGTAAAATTTTGGTGTAAGCAAGAATTTCATTTCCAAATAATGTTTTGAAATTAATTGCATCATAGTCTTCTTTACTGACTTTTGGTGTTTTCTGAAATTTTTATGTAATTAATAATTAAAATTATGCTTAGAAATTGTTCATTTTTGGGACGCTTTTATGGAATATGAAATAAAATTAATGATTTCTACCCGAATTTTATGTACGTTTTATATAAGTAAAGTTGGACTAAAAACTTCAATTTGAACATGCTAGGTCTCGAATTGCATTAAATAAGTACATAAATATTAATGTTTTTATAATTTGCCAATTGCTTTTAAATTTTAAAAGTAATGTTTCTGGGCTTAGCTTAGATACGCGCCCGAAAATTAAAATGTATGCCGAAGAAATACCGAAATTCTTTTTAAGTAGTGAATAATACCTCAATAGTGGATACGAGTACCTCAAACTTATATGTCTGCACATGCTAGGAAATATTTTCACTTACACTTCACATCCTCTTTCTTTCAATTTTTCTCCTCTCTTTGAGTTTCGAAGCTGCAATCTATTTGATCTATTTATCTATTTTAAAGAAATAGTTACATAGCTCCAGTACGAATAATTAAAAGATTATAAGCAAGCAAAATATAAGAATTAGAATGATCTTGCAGAGTTTTTATTTAAAAAATACACAAAAAGTGGCAAATAAATTTCAGCAGCAATATTTAATGTTTATGCAATATATGTATGTATATACATACATGTTAACTCATGTTTTGTATGAATATCTATTTATAGCTACATAAGTGTGAAGTTATTTCTAAAGTGAAGTTTCCTTATTTATATAAAAGCTCAAAAAAAAATAAACATTTAATGACCATATTGTATGTATACAATAAAAGTTGTCAAGTCATTCAATGATAGTTCAAAATATAAAAGCTTGAAGTAAGTATGTATATCTATTGATATATGTACATATGTATGTGTTATGATAGAAGTGCGCTAAATAAAAGTAAGCAAGTCAATGGCCATCATAAATATCATTGTAATATTTTTGTTTTAGAATGAAACAACGCAAAATATTTTAAATTCTTTTTGTTATTTAAATTTAATTCTTAAATTAAAAATCTTAATACAAAATTCATTACTTAGTGAGGAAAATTTATATCTATATGGTTTGATTGACTAACTGTTTGTATATTTTTGAGCAATTAACTACAATAGCCTGTGTTAGAATCGTAAAAAAATTAATAATAAAATTAGCTAAATTTTTTTTTCTAAAATAAGTGCAAGATCAAGAGCAATCTGTTAAGAAGCACTGCTTTATAATTTGATAAATAAATGAGCTTTCTGTCAAAATCTGGTTTTCAATTTTGTTGGAATAACGTGAAATACCACGAAATAGTCACGATTAACATTATTATACCCCTTAGTAGCGAGCCGATTAAGCTGAAGTTCAACAATTTTCTCAAAATTTGATAAAGTAAAGGACAACTTAGTCTATTAGTCCAATTTTCATAATATAATGAATTAAAGATTATATAATTTGGTAATATATTAGGACATTTCACAAACAAGGTAAATCGCAATACAAAGTGCAAGCTGCGATATATTTATTTTCATAAAAAAATTTTGCTAATCTTCTTTGTTCAAAGTCATTTCTAACTTTTCGCAAAATTGCGAAATTGTTAAGTAGTAGCGCAATTAAAACATAAGAACTGTTATGATTTTGACTATATACGATTGTCGTTGTATGTATGTGTAATTTTTGTATAATATTATTATTCTTATGTTACTTATGCACATACTGTATACATAGATGTACATATGTAAATGCTATATTAATTTACTGAATGTTTATAATATTAAACAAAAATTTCGCAACAATTTCAAGTTCTTTATCGAATATTTTGAATATACGTACATAAGTATGTAAGTATGTACATACATATATTATAATATGTACTGATAAATATATACGATAAATTGTCTATTGTTATATACAATATAAAAATAAATATTTAACATTGTAATTATAAAACAGATAAAAATTGTAATATGTGTACGCAATATGTATACTATGGCTATTGTTAATACCATTTGGTAAATAATAATTATATAATAATGAAGCAATAATTAAGATGGCAAACATTGATTTAGAAAGCGTATTATTTTAATAAATAAAATTATTTTGAATTAAAGTTGAATAGAATTGTGAAATTTACTAAAATTTTGTGATGTATTATTTCGTTAAATATTGTAGCTGTATTTCGATTTTAATGTATAATACTCTTAATTAGCTAAAATTATGCCTAAAATAGTACAGAAATTGTACCGACACTTAAATCAGAAAAAAATTATTTATAACATAGGTCACATAATTTTTAAAATTTTTTTAATCAGTACTAGAAAATTTAATCAAAAGCTGTCATGAAGTTTTGGCTTAATTTGTTATCAAAGCTTTTCAAAAGATATTGAGATATTAACCCTTTCGTGTACAAAACTGAATTCAGACCGATATAACATTATATGAGCATATATATCGAATAAATAGTTCCTCAAATAAGCTGCTTTTTTTACTATCTTCTCGGGGTTTATTTTAAAAATTTAGCGAAAATTTTAATTTTGAAAATATTCTAATTATGTACTCAATATTCAAAATCCTTTCAAAAGGTTTAGTAGAAAACCTAATATATAAAATTAAAATGTAGAATTTATTCAAGCAAATTGATTTGGTATATTTTCTTCTATAAAAAAAAAATTGCATAAAATGGCTATTTTACTTGTTAATAGTTTTAGTTTGCAGATAGTACTAAATTGGTTCTATCAACTTGTTATACTTTTGTAATAAGTAATAATAATTATACAAATCTACATATACAAGCATAATGAAATCAAAAAGTAAATCAACAGCTATATCTCAATCTATTAATAAATATGAAGTGAATATACATATAGTAGCACAATTCATATCATATAAGTAGAGTAGGTACTTAATGTTTATTTCAATAGAAACTGATATCAATAATAAAAAAACCCTAAAATTAATAAGTGCTTTTCAATTTTATAAATTGCAAAATATTAAATGGAAATTAGTTATGTAAAAGTAAATCATTTGTTTTTTTTGTACTAAATAGCTATCTAAAATATTTTTGTATTTTGTATTTTAATCTAAAATTGTTTTGTATATTTTGTAGTTATATGAATTTTTAGATATAAATTTAACACCATAAAATATTGTTGACTCTATTGTAGCTTGAACATTTTATATGGCTACATAAATGCTGTATATATGTATATATATTTAGGTTTAAATAAAAGAATTTTAAATTGTATAAATTGATATGAATTTTAATTTAATTAAATATTTGTTACACAATTTAATATAACATCAGATATTATTTATATAATGTATGAATGTATGTATAAACACTATTAATTAAAGTGTTATACTTGAATATATCTTTGTATTTAATAAAATTTAAGTACCTATTATGAGAAACAGTAGAGATGTTGTATAATCAACTATACATTACCAATAGCAGTCATTGGTTATAATATTAGAATTGAGTGATCAGAGCAGTACAAATAAAATTTAAATTTCAAATTTATTCATTAAAATACGGACAATTTCGTTTTCTTTACAATGGGGTTTCCTAACTAAAAAATTTATATAATTAGGTTGCAATATTTTGAGATTTTACTGTATTATGTTCCTTTTCAATAAATATACTCAATTTTATTATATAAAACATTCTTTTCATTGAAGTTTTTAAACAGAAATTACTTATTAATATTTTAACTATTTAGAATAAATGAAGCTTTAATTAAGAACAAAATAAAAGTTAGCAAGCATAAAGTATGTACTTAAATTAAATAATAATTGTTAAAAAATAAATATATAGATAATTTTAATCAATTGTTAATTAGTTGCATGTCTTTCATAAGAGTTATTAATAAAATTTGCAAATATTAAAAGTAATAATTATAGTACAATAAATGTGTATATGTACATTCATATTGTATTATACTCTTGCTTATAAATCTTTATAAAGTACATCTGGCTATTTGTTCTATTTATTTAAAACATGCATATGCACTTGAGTGAATGATATTATTTATCAAGCTAAGAATATTGTCGTTTTACTGTTTGTTTCGGACAAACTTTTTACTTATTATGTTTTTCAGTATTTTTGAGGGTGGTCTCTTGTAACAATTCCTTAACGGATTTATCTTATCTTCAATAAGCTTTGAAATATTTTTTGGCCATTCAATTAAATTTTGCCATTTTGTTTGTAGGTAATTTTCAACGGGAAGTTGTTCGAAAATTAAATATTTGATTGTAGTTTCGGATAATTATAAAAAGATTCGGACAACCACGTGAACTGCGAAATTAAAATTAAACATTTGAAACGCATGAATGATATTTTGTAGTTTATTGAATTTAACAATTCTTGAGTAATTAACCTTTTGATTACAAAGTCACTCTGTGAAAATTTAGTCTATGACGCTTATAATTTTATATTAATCATTACCTAATTCAATATTTTATAAAATGTTTTTTCAATGTTTTATAGAAATATGATTAAATTTATTTAAAAAAATTTTAATTTAATATTACACAGCAATAATGGTAAAATAATTGAAATTATTATAATTGCATAGATTTTTCTATAGTCACATAGACGAATAACTGTAAAAATTCTATGTTTCGTCAAATAAACTATTTATATATATGTATACATATGTATATATAATATAAAAGCGGCTCTATATAAAATTTTCTATAAAATATAATTTATGTATTTTAAATTTTTAATCTTAAATTATTTAGCACAAGCAAATTTGTACATTTTTCAATTTTTTTCATAGCAGTTTATTCTTTTTTGTTTTCCCTTATCTTATTAAACAAATCGTTATCTTTATTAATTTAAATAACATATATTTTAAGTTTGGGCACACCTTTACCACAATTTGTGATATGAAAAACTCTTAATTAAGAAGTAAAGATATGCCGAGGCAATTACATTATTCACTTAAATTGATATCGAAAAATATTTTCTTTGCTAATATAATATACGCACTATATGGTGATGCTACATTTTTTTCTATAATAATAAATATCAGCTGATTTTTCTGATATATAAATTCTATTAGCTTAGTTATAATAATTAACGATGTGGTTAATATTTTGCAATTTATTATGAAAAGAAATTGTCATAACTTCAAAATTATAAGCTCTAAATTTTCTTTAAAGATTTTTGGTACATTTTAGTAAAGCAAACTGTCGTTTATTTTGGTTAGGGTGTACCTAATTCTTGTAACAATTTAATATTCTTACAATAAGTTTTTTATTGTCCAATTACAGAACTATTTTGTATTTGATAAAAATAATAAAAACCTTTGAACAGTTCATTTAGAGACATCAAAATTAAGAACAATGCTATGCCCAATATGATTTCGGTAAGGCAAAAACTTGAATAATGTTAATGTATTTAAAATAAAATATAAAAAAATAATAACAGAATTAATTTTCAAGTATAATAATTATTTTTTTTTTTACCTTAACAACCATATCTTCAGAAAATGCTTCATTTTTGCAATTATATGTTAAATGAATTTTAAAACAATTTGTTAACATAAATGCTTCAGCAGAATCAATAAATTTTAATGAAATTTCTTTGATTGAAAATTCATCTTTAGTTGGTTTTCCTTTTAATGAACCATTTTCAATCAGTTTTGGTATTAAAAATTCTTTGACCCATTGTATTTCAATATCTTTTCTATTATCCATTATTACAAATTTATTAAGTTAAAAAATACAATATTCTATTGATCAAAATATTTACAAAAGAAAAATGTGTAATATAAAAATATAAATAAAAAAAAAACAAATTTAACACGCAAACTCAGAAAACGCTCACGCTTTAACAATAAAAACAAAAAAGAAAATTATTAAAATTAAATCACACTTTGTTATACCCGCTTGTAAACGATCAGTAAGCGACTGACGGCAAAACGAATTTTTTAATAACAAACGCGAAAAGAAAACCGAAAACTTTTCATTATTTTTAATGACTAATTTTATCGGTAGGTATATATGAACATGTGTACAACATGTGTATATTATGTGCTTAGTTATTTATGTAGTAAACTTATCGTTTATTTTATTAGAGTAGAATAGAATATAATAAATAATGAATAATGATCATTTGGAACGTTTATTGTATGTACAGGGTGATTCAGTAACCAGTGCCTTAACGTATATCATCGCTTGAAGATACAACAAAAAAACCATATCGCTGGCAAAACTGTGATACCACGTAAGTGCAAATATTTCCAAAAGTACTTTACCAATTTTCTGTTCAGGAAATGTCAAACAATCCATCTTTTAAATTTATGAAAATATGAAAATTATTTAAAGAATATGTAGTTATTTATTAGTTTTTACTGTTTCGTAAATTTAAAAGATGGATTGTTTGACATTTCCTAAACAGAAAATTGGTAAAGTACTTTTGGAAATATTTGCACTTACGTGGTATCACAGTTTTGTCAGCGATATGCATTTTAAAATTTCAAAAGCCCTAATAAAAAAAAAAACTCAAAAAATTATTCCTACTTGTATTTTTTATTTTTATTAATTTCAAGTGCTATTAACCTCAACTATTATTTTTGATGTTATGCAATTAATTACATTTGTAGTATTCAATAATTTATTTCTATAATCGTATCGTAATAAACGATAGATGTATTAAATGACATTAAATATTTTGAAATTTTAAAAGAATTTGATACCAAAAATTAAAGTTTAATACTTTGTAAACTCGAACTACTAGTCAGACTAAAGGTTATTTTCGTAGCTGTTTTAAATCAATAATACGTAGGTTGTTTATGGTTTTAAAGCTTAAAGTCATGTAAAATTATGTGTCACTAAAATTGAAGCCAAAATAAACTAATTATTTATTTGTTTATTATAATTGACTAAAAAAGAAGTCACTACTTACTTATGTTATATTATTAAATGAACTACTTTAATGTAAGGTATCAAATGTCAAATGTCAAATGTCAAAAGTCAAATGTCAAATGTCAAATGCCAAATGTCAAATGTCAAATGTCAATTGTCAAATGTCAAACATTATTTCGATTGATGTCCCTTACAATTTTTTGTATTACCAAATCAAATGATTTTTAATATACATTTTATAATAGATATTAATAAACTTTAATTTATTAAATTCATGACATTATGCTGTTGCCATAATTGTGGTTAAGAATAGTGGACATAAATTACCCACTTGAAAGTCACATTTTTAAGTGAACTTTATTTTGTTTTAATTAATTTGTAGAACTATTAAGTACTAGATAATTTTTTATATACGTTACATATGTATATACCTACATATATGCACACATATATTCCTTAAGATATTATTGGTAAACAAAAGCTTAACTGTAATTGTGTAACGTTGTCTAACTTCTCTTTTTTAAAAAAAGATATTCGTGTTTTTCATAAAATCATATCATCTTGAATATTATTAATAGTATCACGTACATACACAAGTTTATATATATGTACATATCAAAACTTCATGCAAAGTTAACTCGTACTATATTCTATTGTTTGACATTTAAAAATGTGATAGGCGCTTTTATCAAAAAGGTCATAGGTGCAAGCAAAATCTATACGTGTCTATGTGGTTTTAATATTCTGTAAATATGGAAAAAAGTTTGAAACTTTGCTATTAAACGTGACAAACCAATTATATTAATTAATTATTTTACTATAGTGTTTGAAACTAATCCAGAAGAAATTTGGAAAATTTTCTTAATTTATAAATACATAAGTCTCTTTTAACGCTAAGTGTCGGAGTACAATAAAAATTTATTTTTTCACGTAACTCTAAAAATTTCTATAGTGCGATTCGTTTTATTTACGTAATAATATGTATAATGATATAATGATATATAGCAATATTTACGTAATGAAATATATTGTAATAGTTCTTGCAATTATTGAAGGATTTATCGAACTTTTAAAACATGTCGAATTTACTTTGTATAAAAACAAAAAATTACGAAATTGCTCTAACATTCTTCAAACATTAATACTCTTTTCAAAATTTTTAATATTTTTTAAACATACATAGATATTAAGTGTTAATCATAGTTTTGCTCAAAATTTTGGAAACCTGGTACAATTTTCAAAATAATATTGAATATTTGAAGCTGCTCCCAAAAATATGCAATTTTTTATTTGATTATAAAATTAAATTTATTAAAATATAAATTTAATATCTAACGCAATTTTCACTAAATTAAACAATAAAATATTTTATTAATTTGGTTGCTTACTTTAGAGTTCGTGTAATCAAAGATATAGAACATAAATGTTAATACAAAAATTTTCTACCCATTTTTGGTCATTTTTTTTATAACTTTTTTGAAAACTTTATAAGGTGATCAGTCATTTTCAAAATTAATTTTAAATTTATTTATAAAGTAAATTGTGTGATGAGAATGTAAATGACGTAATTTTTCTCTAAATTTTTGGAATGCATGTATATTTAATATTCTCGCAATAATAATCAAAATAACAAGCAAAAAAGAAGAGTAATTTCAATGTTCAAAAAAAAGAAGAGTTATTGCCTTGAATTTTATAAGAAAAAAAAAACAGGAAACAAAAAATTCTCATATCTATGGCATTCCATAAAATTGTCATTTTTAAAATGCTTGAAAATTTTTCAAACCATTACACTGTGAGTCCTTATTTTACAGATTTGTGATACCATATATTGTATGTCATGAATTTGCATACACATTTATATATGTACATTCCTACAGTATATTTTGTATGAGTACCGTTAATATTAGAATTATTCTCAGTAGTATTTTCCTTTGATTTTTGTATTTTGAATCTCTTTTCTTTCTTTTCTCAGATGTGCTGTGCTCTTTTTCATTCTTTTTAATTTTGCTTTTTGGATTTTTTTCTTTGGTTGTGTTATCATCACATTTTTAGTTATTTAAGTACTAAAATTAAAGGATTTTTGTTTTTGTTTTTATTATTCCCTTTTTATTTGAAAGTGCAAATAAATTTATTGTAATATTTAGAAAAAAATTATTTCACCTTTCTGCGTGTGCTTAAAATGATTGTTATTAAGATTATAAAACGAGTAAAATTAAAAAATTTTGTTTAAAATGGTCGACCATTATATAAGTTGTATGTCATATTTTATTACGGTTTCAAGTTGGTTCATGTATAACAATATAATAAAATTTCATCCGATAATATTAAAAGTGAAAACTTAAAAATGTATAATGAATTTTCTTTTGACATTGACATTTTTATTTATTTAAATAAAGTTTTCAATGCTTTTCGGAGATATTATACTTGGGGTAAGTGTAAGAATTTTACTCTCTTGTTATTGTGTAATATATTAATTCTCAAATTGCAATCGCATTCAATTGTCACAACACTATTTCCATCTGTTCAATTGTATTGCATTATTTATTGCGTTCTATTAGTTGTGATTGTAATGTGAGTTTAGGATTAGAGAAAATTATCCAAAAAAAATTTTACACGGAATGGAAAGAAATCAACGTATATGATATGTATCTGACCAATTGTTTGTGTTTTTCTTCCACCAAAAAATTCCGCTTACACTTTTTTCAAAATTTCCAATTTTGATTAAAGATTTAGACATTTGTGACCATACAAATTGAGAAAAACATTAATTTGATAATATGTTTTCAACTCAATATCTGCTCGTATAACAGATAAAAATTAAAACTCTAACTTCGAGTTTGAGTCATCGATTTCAATTTCTCAATCCTGAAATGAAAATATAATGAAAGATGATCAAGTACCTTATGGAAGTATTACCGAATTTTTAATATAAAATTATTCCTATACCATTTAATTTATTAACTGAAATGTTCTGATGTATGGCCCACTATTTGAATTACTTAAATAACAAAAATTTTCCGAATAAGTTTTTTTGCTTAAAATAATAATTTAATAAAAAAACTAAGTTATTTTTTTAGTATAAACATCCTTTATATACATATATACATACTTATGTATATTATATTTAAATTTTGTTAAAAATAAAGAGAAAAAAAATAAAAAATTGCAGTTATTTTTCCTTAAAGTTTCTTGTAATTTTCATTGTTACTTTCTGCTTCAAACAACATGTAAGTATTACGGTAAGTAAATGTAAAACAAAAAAACAAGAATTTTAAAATTTTCTAAAAGATTTCATTTGGGATCTACATTTTTTGAGTAATTGAGAATTTTTGAGTGAATATATAACAAAAATATAAGAGCAAAATGAAAAAGAAATTCAGAAGATCCTTATGGAAGAATAATAATGCTAAGATAAAATTTCAAGGACGTGCTGCATTTCGTTAATAATATTAATGATTAAGTTGTTAGAGTAAATTACAATAATTTGTACTTACAAATTTGCACTCGTACAATAAAGGTAAAACAAAATAAAAAAAACTTGTGGTAGTTTTAAATTTTATTTCATATATTTTTTATTGTAAATTAGATGTAATTTATTTGATGAACGTCATACACAGTTTTTCACATTAAAAACTAAAATAAATTAAATTTAATTAAGTGTAATTGAATAAAAAGCACATGCTTACATAATATATTAAAGTAATTGAATAATAAAAGTATTTGCCGTGATGAAGCTGGATGTTAATTTAGCAATTTTAAATTGTATTTTAAATTTTTTTGGTAACACTAGGGTTATGTAGTGTGGAACTAATACCATTATATGAAAAATTAATGTATGTATAAAAAACCATCTCATCATAAGAAAAATATTTTTTTTTTATAAATGCTGCTATAATGATTTTTATATAACTCAGAACAACAGGATAACTTGAGATGTACTAAAAACGGCCTGCTCAAGATAAATATTGATACCTAAAAAAACGTAATCAGATTTTTTAACCTTGACATTCAGTTTCAATTCTTATATATTTTACGTTTGAATTAATAGA